GGGGGGGGGGGGGGGGGGGAGGAGGAAGGAACGTAAAGCAGGGAGCTCTGCACGGTTTTTTCCTTTTTTATTTGCTACCATTTTAGGACCGTTTTCATCACGAAACTCAAATTATGCAATCTCTATTATGATTTTGTTTCCGCGCTCGAATGCAAACAAAAACTTTGACCTGCAGCACAGGCAGAAAAAGAAACATAAAAAACTTAAAAAAAAAAGGTGTGTACGAACCTGGAACTTAGTGGAGTCCATAAAGCTGACTGTGTCGTAGAGAAAGCACTTGTGTAATGCCGTCACAACAAGGAACCGCAGCTTCCAATCCTCCACTTGCATGCCGGAGCCTGATTTGATGTCATGAGAATTGGCAAAACCACGTGTTAAAAAAAAAAATAAAAAAAAATAAAAAAAAATCCACTCCCAACTGATTACAATGATTACAATGATTACCAAATTAGCAATATGCCTCAAAAAAAAGAAAAAAGAAAAACTTAAAAAAAAGCAATGCCAGAATATTGTGATTGCCCTTTCTTAATTGCATAGGTCTTCCGCAGAAGGCAAAGTAGCAGAGATGAACGACGTTCGCTTACGGTGGAAAGACTGGCACAACTCAGAAGCAGGGTGGAAAAGGCAGAGATCCCAGCCAGCAAAAGGACAAGATCCATCACAGGCCACGTAATATTGAAGGGCAAATCCCGAGATTCATCTTCCGTAGCTTATTTTGCCTTTCTTGCTCTTTATCATTTATCTGACAGGTAAGGCAAGCTGACAGTCAATACTCCACGATGATGGAGTAATCAATGCTGGTCAGGGTTCCTCAATGCTGGTCAGGGTTCCTTCGGGCAGACGGAAGGACTCTCTCTCTCTCTCTCTCTCTCTCTCTCTCTCTCTCTCTCTTGCGTGCGCGCGCACGCGTGAGTGTGTTTCATGATGCAATACTTCGTTCAGACTTGCCGATGGAATAGGAACTGGACTGATGCTCCCCAGAGTGGAAATGGAGCCAGGGCCATAAGGACCTGTTTTTTTTTTGGTGGGGGGGGGGGGGGGGGGGGGGGAGAATTAAAAAAATGAAAATTGCATAGGTCTTCGACCAGAACGAATGAAAACACACAACATATCATCACAGCTCGGTACCGTACGAAATGAGGAAGGGGGCTGACGAGGAACCTACTATCTTCACCCCAATAGAACGCCCAGTCATTATAGCTGTATTTGGCACAACTTCCAGTCCAGAGATGCAGCGATAATGAGTGGGCATTCTATTCACGTGAAGACAGTACGGATTGACGGACTTGTCCAACAGTGAAAACTTGGTCTTCTTCTTGTCCTTTGCTCCCAATGGCCAAGGGT